CAAACTAACATAAAGAGAAAATAAATACTTGAACTTTGATAGTCCACTTTACCAAAAACTTAATTTTCTTACCTTAAAGATCGAGAATTCAAGTTTACACAGGAACAAGTGAATATATATAGAGAGAAAAGAAATCAAATATATATAGAGAAAGGAGAAAGCAAAAAAATTGTATTATGATATCACATATTATTTTATTCCATATTTCACTATTTCCTTACTAAAATAAATAATTAAGTATAAATAATATATATCAAACATAAATTTATTTATTTTTTTACTATCTAAAATTATAAGGGTATTTTCGGTAAGTAGAATTATTTTCTTTTCATTTTCATGCTATCCAAACTAATAAAATAATGTTTTCTTACAACTTTCTTTAAAATATTTCCTGCTAACCAAATGCATGATAGAAACTTGATTTTCCTTTCTTTCACTTTCACTTTACATAAAATTTTCTGTCTAACCAAACGGAGCTTAAAGGAAGATTTGTGCATGGGTACCCTTATGTTCACTACTATTGTGTCAAAATGTTCTTTACCTTTTCTTACAGAGACTAAATCAGGTTCAGCTTCCTATAATCCTTTTCATTTTACTCGTCAATTTGGATTTGATTAGGCCATCCCGGGTTATAACAGTGATCCTGAACCATTTGAAGCTAGTTGCCTTCGATTTCGCAATAATCGTGTTGTTATCTTAAATTCATTTTAAGCACACTTTATCATTCCTGCAGATAGCCGAGGTGGTGAGTTCACTCCATCTTTCTGCATTTATCGGAGAAAAATGCTTCGAACTTTCTTAAAATTTCCTACCACCGAGCCAGAGCATAAAGCATTTTTCGTCATTTATGAAGGTGACCTTTTTCTTAAGTCTGAAAAGAAAATAAACATCCTATTTCATTCCGTGGTCTCGCTAGCCACCTTGTGAAGGTCAATGCTTTTACCAGCCTATCATCAGATGTTCTGAATCACGTAGGTGCTAAACGTGGATTCCAGGCTTTGCAGACATCCCGAGTAAGGAAAAGCAGAGAGGTACTAACTGTAATGCCTATATTTCATCAGTGTTATGATCATATTAGAACTTTTAATAATAATAATCATCTATATAATTTTTTTCTTTTTAGATCTCTACAAGTCCATCCTCGACCCAAGGCTCCCCTTATGATATTAGGGATGATACTGCCTCTGACTCAGGATCTTATACTCATCATGAGTCCACAGGAGCTAGTGACCATTCTACATTTAAGCCCTCCTCTTGAGCTAATGACAAAGTTTATGATCATTTCATGGAGTCAGTTCCTGAGGCAGTCATCCATAGATCGTAGCAAGCTATGGTTGATGATCCTCTTAATTCATTTTTTCAAATGGATTAACTCATCAAACTAATGGTCAAGTTGAGTACGACCTTGGTGGGACTATGAATAATGTGTTAGGCAAAATCCATAGTTGTCCTCAAGATAATCTTGCAAGTACTGACGGTTATGAGCCGGGAGACACCCAACCTTATCATAACATTCTTGAGACTGAGCTTGTTAAGAGTAACTTTCAGCCTATACATATTCCTGGTGACATCGCGATAGAGACCGCTTATGCTGGTGCTATGGATGCCCAAGACCTTGTTCGTGACCTCTTTGAAATAGAGGAATATATTCCTAAAATACATGAGACTGCCACTGTTTTTCTGGATCAATCTTTTCTATTGCTACTAGAAGTACTCACTCATTTAACCACGTCGTGCCAATGTCCACTCCCCATAGTTTGCGAGATTCCTCCACTCCATTGGGTGCTGTCATTGATCCTTTAGCTAATGGCCCTTTACCTCAACAGTCTCCTTTAGAGGCACTATGTTCCGACACCCTTATCCAGTGGCGCGGGTATAGTTGCAGCCTTTGCAATATTCCACTATTAGACTGCATTTATCAAAGACATCCAGGAACCTTTATCGGGTTTCATTACGAGAGCTCTGATTTCCAATACATGTTGTTAGATGCCTTAAGTAACCTGGCCAAAGAATTACTTGAAAAGAAAATTAATGATGTCGGCGAAGAATACATGAGGCGAGTTCGTAAGCTTATTAATGACTGGAAATGCATAGGGCTAGATTTGTCATGGTTAGAGTATTGTTATGATACTGCTTATAGTCATCTTAGTCTTTTATTTCTCAATCGTGCATATTCTCAGACCTTGGAGGAACTTAAAGAGGCCCTTAACGAGATTACAACCCTTGAATGATACTTGGTTACCACTCGTGCCACGGTTTCATCGATTCAGGCAAGATTTAAGGAGTTAACCCATAACATCTCAACTTAGCGCTTAGTTGATACTTCTTCTGTAAACCTTGATGATGCCTTCTTAAAGGACTTATTATAGCTTAGCACCCATCCCTTCCTTTGTTGATGTACTGGCAATTGTATCCAACTATCCCTTTTCTACTTTGGTTAGTGGAATGCATTGTACCGTTTATTACATTATGTTGTGCTTGGTTCTTAACTTGTTTTAATCATGATATTGACAACCCACATATTTTTGTAAAATATGGAATATGAATGCCCATAAAACCCTTTATTTCATTATATTCTACCTCTCATTTTAAGGGAAATACAACTTGACCCACTTTACATTTACAGGACCTGTTCTAAGACTTGTTGCAACATTGGTCATCTTACAATATCCATTCTTACTGGCTTCAGTGATAGATATGGACCTTCCCACTTTGGCTCAAATTTTCCTGACTTTTAACCCTTCGTGATTTATGTTGCAATTTTGAGAACTAAATCTCCTGTTTTAAACTTCCGCTCTTTTATTTTTTCTATTGTATGCTCGTGACTTTCATTCCAGGTATTTGTGATGATTCAAGGCTACCAAATCCCTTCTCTCCTCTAATACTTCAAGTTTTGCAATCCTAGCATGTTTAGTCACTTTGCTTGCGACAAGCAGCCTAGCTGATGGTAACACTATCTTGACTAGCAGAACTGCCTCAGAACCATATACTAAGGAAAAAGGGGTAGCTTGCGTGGCCCCACGCTTAGTTGTTTGATATGCCCAGAGTGCCATAGGTAAGCACTTTACCCAAAGATTTTGTTGCTCATGAACCAAACGGCTTAAAATTCTTATAAGGGTCTTATTTGATGCCTCGACCTGCCCATTGCCCTGTAGATAATAAGGTGTGGACCTTTCCCGTTATCTGGTAAGATCATCTTAGGTACACTAAAGTGGCAAATGATATCTTAGTAGGGGTCTGTCGTGGCATGGAGGCTTGAAGGAGGGGCTCGCTGGGTGTGTTATAGGGTGACCACACTTTAGCCAGAAATGATTAAAGTGCATGGGTGCTAGTATAGAATAAGCTGAGGCATGTGTTAGCACATGCCAGGACTCCTATAAATAGGGGTACAGGGTGACGCAAAGGACAGTTTTTCTGGAAGCGCAATTCCCCTTCACGCACTTATGACATTTCTGCCCAAATTATCTCCCTTGCCATTACAACATTCTTCCCTCAATCCGATAAACTTTTCTGGTCACTCTTGATCCACTAAGGCTTTCCCAAAGCTTTACTTTCTGGAATCTATAAACCATCCTCTTCAATGGGTAACCAACGGGCCGGTGACCTAGCGGTATCAGCCTCTTACTTCCCAAAGGGAGGTCAGGGTTCAAGTCTCAGAAGAGATAAGTGTGTGTGAGTACCAACTAGAAAAAAAAAAATGTCTTGGTGAGTAGGACCTATAAGAGTTGGTAAGAATAAACTTTCACAACAAAATACCAAATTGTTGTCGTAGTACCATTCATAATGCAAATCTTGAAATTTCTTTCGTGATGTATATCGCTACTCATATTAATTTGGCCTATGAGAGGGAGCCACGTATCATTCAAGATCAATTTTATTCAAAGTGTTGGTATTAGAGAAAAAAATGAAGAACTATAAAGAATAGAAATTCTTAAGTGTGTAAACTATAACGTGAAAATTCATGTAATAATATTTTTTAAATTAAATTAGGAGTTTTAAAGTGTATATAAATAATAGAAATTCTATACACTTTGTATAGGAGTGTGTATATATATATATATATATATATATATATTTCTTTATTTATTTCTGGATAACATTTGACCTTTGTTGTGATAAGTAATTATGCTAACAACATTTAGATTAATAGGGACTTCAAATATCACTAACATTGATAAGTATTATGGTAGTTTTCCAAAGATGAGAATAAGACACGCTATAAATGTATATTTGCACTTACAATGGAGAGAAATATAGTATGTTAGAGCAAGAGGTGTGGGCAACCCAAGTTATCTATCTACTTTTTAAAAAGTAGAGTGCCACGTAAGCTAAAAAGTAATGATGTGGTACTCTATTTTTTTTTAATCCATATGTTTCATGGTGTGGAACCCAATTATCTCATTATCTATTTATTATTTTATTATTATTTTATTAATTTAATTTAAAAATAAAATAAAAAATTTGAATTTGAATTTTATAATTTTTTGTCTTCTTCTCAACGGCTATATTTCAATTTTTATATAAACCACTCATTCTATCTTCTTTCCATTATGAAATCCACTTCTTTGCATTCTCAAGTCTATTATTTGTTCTTTCAATTTCTATATAAACCACTCATTCTATCTTTTTTCAATTCTATCTTCTTTCAATTATCAAGTTTACTTCTTTGCATTCTCAAGCCCATTCTCTATTCTTTGAGTCTTCATATTTCTTAAAAAAAAAAAAAAAATGGCTTCATCGTTACGAGATATACCCGTCTCTGAGTCTATTTCTCCATTGAATTCGTCAGATTTAGATGGGGAAGATATTTTTGAAATCTATTGAAAAAGAATGAACGATGTAAGCAGATTATTATCGCTTGATAGGGTGCGGGCATTCTTTCAACCTCGTAAGAGAAAGTATATTAAACGCAATCGAGAGGAGGCAGCACAGCGGCTATTCCGAGATTCTTTGCTGAAAATCCGATTTATCCACCAAACATATTTCGCAGAAGGTTTCGGATGCGACGAGAGTTGTTTCTTCACATTTTGAACGGTGTTACAACATATGACGAATGGTTCATCCAGAAACCCGATGCCCTCGATCGTATGGGGTTCACTCCTATCCAGAAGATGACTGCTGCAATCTGTATACTTGCATATGGAATTTCAGCTGATCTTTGTGACGAGTATATAAAGATTGCTGAGCGCATTGCGATCGAAAGCTTGAAAAGGTTTGTGATGCTATAATTGCTGTGTATGCGGAGCAGTACCAACGCTCACCAAATGCAGACGACATTACACGTTTACTTCGAGAAGGGGAAGAGAGAGGTTTTCCAGGTATGCTTGGCCCTATAGATTATATGCATTGGGAATAGAAGAACTGCCCCACAGCATGGCATGGCACGCACACGGGAAGAAGCCATAAACCTACCCTCATATTGGAGGCTGTTGCATCGAAAAATCTGTGGATCTGGCATGCTTTCTTTGGTATGGCTGGTTCACACAATGATTTGAATGTTCTCGATCATTCCCCAGTATTCAAGAGCATGATCAATGGTTCAATGCCTCCAGTTAATTACGTGGTGAATGGGCATCGGCGTACAATAGGGTATTACCTATCTGATGGTATATATCTTAAGTGGGCAACTTTGATGCAGACCATCCTGCACCCAACAACAGTCAAAGAGAAATTATTTGCTAACAAACAAGAAACTGTTAGGAAAGATGTAGAACGGGCGTTCGGCGTGTTGCAGATAAGGTGGGCTATAACGCATCAACCGGTACTTTATTGGAATACAGAAGATCTAAACAATATAATGAGAACGTGCATCATATTACACAATATAATCATTGAAGACGAGGGCGAACACATTTTGCAATGGACACCTCCGACAGATGACCCAATTTCCCTTCCACATTACGTTCGAAACCCATCAATGTTGGCGGCACACATTTCCTCTCGCCTAAGTAGGATTCGCAATAGATCAGACAATGCCGATCTTAGGAGAGATCTCATGGAACATTTATGGAATCAATTTGGTAATGAAGATGTTTAAATTTGTTGTAGTAGAATAAAATGTAATTTTCATATTGCTGATGAATAAACAATATTTTAAAAATTTCTTACTTCAATTAGATTTGTTAAGAAATTTAAAGAAATTATGATTTAAAGAAATATCCATTACATATATAAATAAAAATTACATTAGCTTCCCACAGATAGAGAAAGAAAATTACATTACATTAACTTCCTACAGATAGAAAAAGAAAATTACATTACATTAGCTTCCCAAACTACCCCTTTTACTAAAACGTCCATAAATTTCATTTTGTTGATCAATTTTATTACCGTTCGAATTTAATGGAACGTTTGGAAGTAACCGTTTTATTTTTACTACCGTTGCTGCTTTTGCTTTTTTCCTTTCCGTCAAAGTGATTAAACAAAGTAAAAAACAAATAGAATGTTCTCCAAAGGGTACTCTATCTGCGGACAAAAGGATAGACAATGGCTGTAGGTCCCACAAGACAGGTACTCCATTTCTCTCACCATACCATCGACTTCTCTCTCCTAACCGACACAAATATACTCTAAATAGAGTACCACTCCGTTGCTCTTAGAATCTCTATCTACTGTTTTTTTATAGGGTCGAATCAACCAAAACTTTCAATAGGTGTCGGTGCATTTTGAGGGAGGAAAGAACATCAATTTTAGAATAGGTGTTCGTTTGTTTTTTGCTTTACAAAAGAGGCATAGGTACCTTTTCAATGATTAATGGTAATATTGACTTAAGCAAAAGCTAAGATTGTTTGCAAGGAATGACAAACAACTTCGGATTCATAAAATTAAGAGATAAATTTGTAGAGAAAATTTGATATTGTATTAATAATTAAATAGATCATTCTGCTTTCTACACTACAAAGACAATTGGTTTAAAGATGTGCTAGTATTTAAATAAGCAGCTGGTATAATTTGACCGAAAAACTGCATAATTTTTTAAAGGAAGAATCGCTTGTTTTTTTTTTTTTTTTTTTAATTTTAATGAAAATAACTGATTTTAAAGAGGTGTTATAGGCAACTGGTTTAAAGAAAGAGTTGCTTCTTCTTCTTCTTCTTCTTCTTCTTTTATTTATTTATTTATTTATTTTTAATAACTTTTTAAATGTATATAAATATTATAAATAGAATACACTTTTATAAGGAAATTTAGATATATATAAGTGGTGGAATTACTCAAAAGTAAGATATTTAACAAAAATTAATGTGCTTATTGGTCTAAACAATATATATATATATATATATATAGAGGAAGTGATATTTACAATGAGGGGTGTAAACATTAAAACAGTACAGACCCAGCAAATGGAAGCCCATAACAAGAATCCCAAAACAAAGTCCTCAGACTTATACATTAGTAACATTAGCAAATTTTTACAATGAGCTAAACTCCAAAGATTAAAACAGGGTAGACCCAGCAAAAGGAATCACAAAACAAAGCCCAAAGACACATACATATTACTAAGACTAATGGAGCTTGATTACTGCTCCTTCCCGGCCACCTCTGCGACCACCAGACTGATTTTGTGGGTGATCACCGCCATCACCATATTCTCTTTCTTACCGGAATGAGAGATGACATGCATTGCTAACTGTTGTTACTGTTTTGGGTTCACTATCTTTTGGGCTGCCTATTGTTGGGCTACTTGTTGGGCCAAACTACATTCTTATACACATTTACAATATTGCTTAAAGGTTTCTCTCACTTAAAATAGGACACAACAAAGAGCAAGGTAGAGAGAGAAAGAGCAGTGGCTTATTAGTATTATAAGGGTGAGTTTGTCCGAATCGGATCCAAATAGAAAAATAAATTTAAATTTTTGAATAAATAGATAAGTGTCTATTTGGTACTGTTGGTATTAGAAACAAACTCCATTCTTAATCCGGTGTCACGCTAAGAGAGTTATATTTTTTATATACAAAATTTGATAATTCCTTAAATTGCCCCCACCGAACTTTTTAAAAAAATCACAAAAAGCTTTGAAAAAACTATCAAAATTCAAAAAGCCCCTCATTTTCCAACTCATTTGTCCAACAAAATTTTAAAAATTCAAAACCACGTCTTTTCCTCTTTCAATGGATCCCACAAAATTTTTAAGAATCAAAATTTTAAAAAGACCCCTCTTTAACTATTTACTTTTTTAGTTCAAAATTTCTTACCACATTATTATTTAGATTTTTGACTCTGCCACCGAAATAGAGAGAGAGAGAAATAATAGTGATGTAGAGAGGGACAAAATTTGGGTGTCAACTACGTTAATGCAGGGAGACAAACATTGTGTAGAGAGAGAGAGGCATGTGGTGATAAAATTGAAAATTATGTAGAGAGAGCAAAAGTTTTGAAGAGAGAAAATTGCAAGCTTATGTTTAGAACTTAATTTATATTTAGGCGGGTTGTAAATGAGTACCCATTTTTAATCCGCTAATTACATTATTAATTTTTTACTAAATGACCCGTTACTCACTCTACCCATCTTTTGTAGACCTTGCGGCGTACTGGGCTTTATTTAGATACATAAGAGAAAAAATAAAAGAAATAATAGTATTAATTATGAGAGAAAAGAAAAGAAAAAAAAAATGATAATAATAATCTTTATGTATGTTTGGATAGATATAAGAAATAAAAATAAAAATAAATAAATGATAGTATCCCTGTTTGGATAAGATAGAGGGGAGAGAAATGAAAGAAAATAAAATAAGTGATAGTATTATTATTTGGATATGATAGAGGGAAGAGAAATGATAAGAACTAAATTATTATCAGATCTTTTTAAATAGAAGGGAAAATGAGTAGAATAATAATCTTCTCTTTTTAATTGTTGAACGTAGTTTCAGGATTATCAAAAACACAATCATTTATCTTTATATCTTCCCTTTTTTTGAAGACATAGAAAATGAGGGATAAGGATCTCTCCTCATCCTTTCTTTTCTTTCATTTTAATCCACCCAAACATATTTAAACCCTATCATTTATTTTCTTTTATTTTATTTTCTTATCCCTTCAAATCATTCCATCTAAACGCACCCTAATTTGCTCTAGTATATTCTATATTTTACTCACTAGGGATAAAAAAAAGAAAAAAAAAAAAATGCCACGGCTCTTCACGTTTGTTATTCCTTAGGTAGAATACGTATTTTAATTTTAATTATTTAAAATTTTTGACCTTTTATAATATATTTATTAGAATAGAAGGTGGGTAACAATTTTTATTCAAATAAATCATAATGGTATATGTTTTGCTGAGAAATGCAAAACATATATACTGAAACTATCATATACAACTAACCTATAAAATGAAAAAAAGGGGCGATCAAAAAATTCCACCCCAACTGTTCCGCCCCAATATTACTACTCCATGGCACAAGACACCATGTTTCTGCTCATGCAGAGAAATGACCTTTCAGTCCACACGCACATTCAAAGCATTAAAGTGACCGACATGATAAAAGACGACCTTTGAGTCTATGTGAACAGAACACTAATGTTCACTTTAACCAGTATCTCCATTTTAATATGGTTATCTATTCCGTAAATGGTATGTGAGTCATAATTTATGAAATGAAAAATTATACTAAGAAGGAGGGAGTAATGTTTTCACATGCATTATAATTCAAATTCACATCTCCATATTTCAACTATTAAAATGATTAATGTTATATGATTGACATTAAATTGAAGTTTTGAAATTAAAATTAGTGGAATTGGAAAAAAACAAGTAAGAAAATTGAACTAATTTTTTTCTTTTTTTAATTTTAATTTCAATTTCAAAATTCTAATTCCATACCCCGAAACATAACATAAGAAAATTTATTCTAAAAGGAAGAGAACCATAGCTACTTTAAACCCATAAATGGTTAAGAAAACTTACCTAATATAATCATGAGAAACTAAGCTGGGACCTAAAACTTTGCACACAACACTATACACAATTAGGTCACAACCATTAATACTGTATTACTGGTATAAAAAATATTTTAAAAACCTAATATGATGATTACACTAATTCGATTATTTTTATTTTATGTGAATCAAAGTTAATGTTATATAAAAATAGTAGAAATTTGTTTGAATGTTGTATCACAACTTAAGAAAAGAAAAAAAGGACTTTAAAGTGTAACGCGTTTTTCTCAAGTCTAAATTAACGGAACCACAATGACCATTGTAGATTTTTAATAAGTTGAATTGAGAGCATCTTGACCAAGGATAATGTTGTCGTTAAAAGTTGGATACATGAGGAAATGAGACGAGTGGGGTCTATAATAAACTATCGTGGTGGGGTGGATTTTCTTATAAGCTTCTAGTGATAAAGAAAAAATTAAAATATTCAATATCTTTGTAAAATAGAGTTAAAAGAAAAAATAACTCAGAAAATTGAACAAATTTTTTTTTTCTAACTTTACAAATTTCAATTCCAAAGTTTCAACTCCTTGCCGCCAAATATAATAACTTTAGGAGTTTTAAATTTTATTTTTCACCTTGGTCGAATTAGGAAAAATAATTAAGCATGCATCGAAAATTATTATTCATGTATAAAATGCCCTCTAAACTCTTATTCAAAATATTAAAATATATAATTTGTTAATGAGTTTTGAAAATTTTACTTGCACTCAACTTTTCAAATTCAATGACAATGCTATTGCTTGGAACTTTGCTCAACTTTAAAGAATTTTCATTGCCGGTTTTTATCTATAAAGAAACTGATCGATCCTCTTTACTATAAAGCCATGCAAAAGCTCACTGATACTCTTTACTATAAATCACGCAAAGAGCTATTACAAGCACTAGCAAGGCATATTCTCTTGCCGGTTTTCAAAGAATGTTTAGATTTTTCAATTGGCCATTTAACCGAACAATTAATTTGCACACAAGTTTTCCTAAAAACATACACAACATGTCAGTCTTGGATTGCCCATCTTTATAAACAAAGCTTCTTGCTCGAGAAATAAAAAGATTATTCTACTGATAAAGAAGACCCAAAACTATATGTATAAACATGTAAACTGGTATATCGTATAAAATAAATCTGGCTTTATAATTTGTTCTAATGAATTCGATTTTTTTTTTGTAAAATAAAAGGACAATGATTTCGTGAATTTTCTTCACTCGCACAAACCCTCCTAATTTTGGGATAAAATGTTGAGGGCATTTTAAACCTAAATTTTTATTTTAAATGCATATATAATTATTTTACTTAATTCAATCAAAGTAAAAATTAAAATTTAAAAATAGATTATTTTACGATTTAGGACTCGTGTAATTCATCCCGTTCAGATTTGGATAAATTATACACCACCATTTAATGCTTATTATTTTGATCATTTCTTAAGGCTTCGATATATTATGTTTTTCACTTTCAAAGCGAGAAATTCATTTAAGCACCAAAATGTAAAGTATTACCATTCCCAAAAAAAAAACAAAAAGTTGTAGTGAAATTAGGCAACACTAGGGCCACCTCGGTCAAGTCTGTCTGACTTTAATTATTAGGAAAACGCGTAAAAAATAGATATATAATTGAGCACCATTTCTTCTTTTTTATTTTTATTTTTTATATATATATATATTTTTTGCAAAGCAAAAGGGACAGAAGCTAAGAAACAAAACAACAGTTAGAGAAAAGGGCATCCCAAGAGGCCCTATATCAGAGACAGAAGAAGAAAGAGCAGAGCTAAGAGCAAATCTACAGAGTTCGTGCGCTCTATTTTTGCCCACCACTCTATTTTTGTCCACCACTCCTTCAACCACATATTAAGCCTATTGCAAGAAAACTTAAATTTATATTATTATTTTTTTCTATAAAAAAATGGCTGAGAGTGCAGTTTTCTTTCTGCTAGACAAGCTTGCACTGCCTTTACTCCAGGAAGAGGTGAAACTGTTGAGTGGAGTCAAGAAGGAACTTGCTTACATCAGAGCCGAATTCGAGCGCATGGCTGCATTCCTCAGAGTTGCCGATTCAATGGAAGAGAGCGATCCGGAAATCCGAGTTTGGGTTAAGCAAGTGCGTGACATTGCACACCACACCGAAGACATTCTTGATGTCTTCATGCTACAATATTTGATGCATGGTCCACATCACGAGCGGATCAGATACTTTGGTTTTGGTTTTCTTGGGAATGCTTTTCGTTCTCTCAAGAAAATGAAAGTCCGCCGTCAACTTGCTTCCGAGATTCAAAGCCTCAAATGTAGAGTAAGGGACGTTGCCGACGGACATCAGAGATACCGTCTCAAGTTAAACATATCAGAAGAAGGCTCAACCTCAAGCTCAACCGCCACCGCCACCGCTTACAAATGGTATGATTTGCGAGGTGACGCACTCCTGATAACAGAAGCTGAGCTCGTGGGCGTTGACAAGCCCAAGCAGGAGCTGATCGGTTTGCTGGTGGTCGATGATCAGGCGGATCATAGATCAGAACTAAAAGTGGTTTCCGTGGTGGGAATGGGAGGGTTGGGAAAAACCACCATTGTTAAAAAAGTGTACGATGATGCAGCAGTGAAGAAGCATTTCCAGAGCCATGTCTGGCTCACGTTTTCAGAATCATTTCAGACGGAGGAGCTGCTAAGAGACGCCATTCAGCAGCTGTTCGGCGAAATAAAGCAACCGGCCCCTCAAGGAGTCGAAACTATGGATGTGAACAAGCTGAAACATGTGATCAATGGATTCCTAGAACAGAGGAGGTACGTGGTGGTGTTTGATGATGTTTGGAGCATTCATGCTTGGAAAGCTGTCAAGTATGCTTTCCCCAACAACAATCTACGGAGTCGAATCGTGCTCACAACACGTTTAGGAGACATAGCTTCCAAATCTTGCGCAGAAACTGATGGCGAAGTTTATCATTTGAATCCGTTGTCTTCCGAACAGTCTTGTAGAAAGGCGTTTCGGGGCAACTCCTCCTCCTGCCCTCCACATTTGGAGGAAATTTCTAGAAGCATCTTAAAAAGATGCGACGGGCTGCCCCTTGCAATCGTGGCGATTGGTGGTATTTTGGCAACGAAGAACCAGAGTAGAATTGAAGAATGGGATATGCTCTATCGCAGCCTTGGAATGGAGTTACAAGGCAACGATAATCTTCAAAGCATGAAAAATATACTCTCCCTGAGTTACAACGATTTGCCTTGGTATCTGAAGATTTGTTTCTTGTATCTGAGCATCTTCCCCGAAGATCATGAGATTGAGTGTATGAGATTGATTCGACTGTGGATGGCGGAAGGATTTGTGCAAGGCGGCGAAGGTGGAAAGACAATTGAAGAAGTTGCAGAGGGATACATCAACGAGCTTGTCAATAGAAGTTTGATCCAAGTGGCAGAGATGACGGTTGACGGAAGGGCCAAAACTTGTCGTATCCATGACCTTTTGCGCGAAATTACTACATCCAAGTCGAGAGAACAGAATGTTGCAGCTATAGCCAGTGAACGCAACACGAGATGGCCTGAAAAAGTTAGACGCCTATCAATCCATACTACCTTTGGAAATATAAAACAAAGTAAGCAATTCTCACGACTTCGTTCGATGCTCATGTTTGGGGTGGCAGCTGATCCTTTGTCAAAGTTGTCGTTACCTATGTTGTTTAGTGGTGATTTGAGGTTGCTCAAGGTTTTAGACTTGAGAGATGCTTCTTTGGAGACCGTTCCCGTTCCCGATGAAGTTTTCAAAATGTTTCATCTCAAATATCTAAGCTTGAGAGGAACCAAGGTGAAAATGCTTCCGAGCTCCATTGGTGACCTTGTAAACCTACAAACTTTGGATCTCAAACGCACCTTTGTTACCGTGTTGCCAGCTGAGATACTGAATCTCCGAGGGCTGCGCCATCTCCTTGTGTACAAGTACGGCACGCTGATGGAACAATACCAACAATTTCACTGCGCAAATGGATTCGAAGCGTTAAAGGGAATCGGAGGCTTGTCGTCCTTGCAGAAACTTTGTCACGTCAATGCAAGTCATGGCATAGCGAGCGAGCTAGGGAAGCTGACCCAACTGAGGAGACTAGGGATTTTAAAGCTGAGAACCGAAGACGGGAAGGCTCTGTGCTCCTCCATTGAAAAGCTGAGCAACCTTCGTTCACTGGATGTGAGAACCACAGAAGATGACGAGATCCTTGATATTCAACTTTTGCATTCACCCCCTCGGTTTCTCCGTTCGCTATACTTGCACGGGCGTTTAGAGGAGCTACCAAGTTGGATATCCTCTCTTCACAATCTGGTGGCAGTATATCTTATATGGAGCAAGTTAAGGGATGTTCCATTGCAATACCTTCGAGGTTTGCCGAACCTCACGGAGGTGGTGCTCAACCGTGCTTACGACGGAGAGGATTTGTGTTTCGAGGCTGGAGGGTTTCGGAGGCTTAAGAGATTATACCTTGCGAGACTAGAAGGATTGAGATGGGTGAGAGTGGAGGAAGGTGCAATGCCTCATCTTGAAATACTTTCTATAAGGGATTGTGAATTGGTTGAGGAAGTGCCTTCAGGTATTCAACATCTAACCAAACTTCAGTCGCTTTGGTTGATTAATGTGCATGATGAGTTGCTTAAGAAGCTGAATCGAAACAGAGGAGGCGCGGATTATTGGAAAATAGTTCATGTCCCCAATGTTCGGATTGGAGTCTTTCAAAATGGTTGTTTCATAGAACAAAATCTGTAGACAAAAACTATTCATCACGTTGTGTTTGGCGGCATGGAATTGATTAAAATTTTTGGTTCAATTTTCTTGATTATTTTTCTTCAATTTCATTAATGATTCGCCGTATCGTTTGATACGTGACGTATCGTTCGACACGCGACCCTTTTTCAAATCCGATACGTGATTTGTATATGTTAGTTTACACTGACTGTATTCGAATCTGTTACACCGCAACCGTGATCGGTCAACTGATAAAACGACCATGACCGATACCCACTAATTCTAATTTCAAAACATTAATTCTATGCTTGCCAAAATAAATGGTCACGTATTCACAATCGTACTACCAGACTTCATGAATCACAATCAGCATGGCATCATTGATCACAAGGATTTGATATGTAGTAATTGTTTTCTATATTTTTTCTTTTGATGTACTTTAAATTGCAAATTCAATCCATCGGTTAAGTTCAAAATTAAACACGGAATAACACTCGTTTGATTTCAACACTTGAATTCTTAAGTTACTTACTCTAAATTAAACCCTATTTATTTTCAATAAACTCTTAAGTTACTTACTCTAAATTAAACCCTATTTATTTTCAATAAACTTATTAATAGATTCAATACCTTAATTCAACATTGCAAAACATTGATTCTATAATTAAGGACACTTAGTTTACTTTTATGTCATTAAATCAACTCATTAATTATTGTATTCAACACTTCATCCGCTGAATTAAACACTAAATAACACTCACTTCATTTCAACACTTGAATTCATGGATCACTTAGTAGTACTCTTAGTTAAACACTATTTATTTTCAATAAACTCATTCATGGATTCAGTACCTTAATTCAACATTTCGAAACATTAATATTAGAATTAAAGACACTTATTTCTAAACTCATTAATTATACTTATTTCTCAACTCATTAATTATAGTATTAAACACTTCATAACACCGGGACCAAAAAAAAAAAAAAAACTCTTGTATTAAACACTCAATAACACAAAACTTTGTATTGTTTGTGTGTGGACGTTATGTATTCAAGTGTTGAAAATAAATAAAATACCCAATAAATAATAAATAAATGAAACAAAAATAACCCACCCCCACATCTAACAAGAATTCCTTTAACTTCAAATAATCAAGCTTTATAAATAAGGGGCCAAGCCAAATAAATAAAAGGCAAACCCTTCCAATATAAGAGCTCTCCACTCGAGAAGACAACCTCTGGTTAACAGAGAAGGAAAAAAAAAAAAAAACGAAAGAAAGGAAGCAGTGGGTATCATCTAGGATTGTTGCTTCACTTGTACAAAGTACAAACAAACCTTAATGCTTATATTTTTCATTTAAAATACACATACTCACATACAAAAGAAACAGGAAAATACACACACACACACACACACACACACACACAAATATATATATATAGCCGAAGTGGGGAACCCAGAACCAAGTAAAGCATTAACACTGTAATTGATAGTAAATGTTTGAATTTCATTTATAGCATAAATTTTTACAGCAGTGAGAAATATATATTATCTTCAACTGTATCAAGGAATCACAATTTATTCGCTACACAAAGCCAGCACTGCATGATGTCCCAAAGCAGTCATACTTTTTCTGGTTCGGTTGCATCGACATCTTCTATTCGACTGCCTAATTTGACAATATCTTCGACGAGGATCTTCCCTTCTGTTGCCAAAATGAATAATTACATCGATCAGGACATGATCATGTTTGAGCAATGATGTCGATTTACAAAATGATATAGATACAAAGATTTAGGGAGCAGTTAAACACTACAAAGAACTGCAATAATATATCTTCATTTTAATTTTTGACAAGTTGAATATATATGTTCATTTTATATAGCACAACCAAGTTTATGTCATATATCGCACTCACCGGTTTTACATAGGCAACACCAATTAACAAGTTTGGACTACTATCTGGGGAAAGATTTTGACATTGGATAATCTGCGAAAAAGAGGCCATACCATTGTTAACTGGTGTTGCGTATGTAAAACAGACGGTGAGTCCGTGGATCACATTCTTATGCATTGTCCTGTGGCGCATGATTGCTGGAATCTCATATTCAGTATTTTTGGCGTTCAGTGGGTAAAGCCTAAGCACTCTATTCAATTCATTAACGCATGGAAAAGATGCCCTGTTAAAGGTCATGCTCGTGATTTTTGGAGGATCGTCCCACACTGTGTTTGGTGGTGTATTTGGAGAGAGAGAAATAACAGAAATTTTGAAGGAAAGGAATCGTCTCTAGCAAACTTAAAATCTCATATTCTTCGTTCGCTTTTCTGTTATGTAAGAGGCAGCGCTTGCTCCTCGATTGATGATTAATTTAATCTATTGGACTCTGTTGGTCCTTTGGTTTTTTGTTCTTGTGTATTAGGGACGCGTTCCCCTTTTGAACGCTTTTCTAATATATTTTACTTATCAATTTTTTTTTCACTTGAACGGAATTTTACAAGGTCTATTTCATTGCATATACAGGACAAGAATTTCAAGAAATGAAACCACTTCATTTTATCAAAATCATTTTTGAGATACATTTTGAGAACAGTATTTATTTAATTATAGTTATCCATTTCTGTTTTTAATTTACTTTAATTCTATTTCAATTTTTTGAGAACGGGTGGTGGCATGGGGGACAATATTCGTCTGTTATACGTCATTCTAGAATATATATTTATGCCTTCATAAGTTAGCAAAAACATACTAGAATGCTTTCAATTCATGAGTTGACAATTTAATTGAAGAATTGTACCCCAAGAATAATGTAATGAATTGAAAATTTGTTCTAAATAAGGTTTGGCACAGTCATTACTTATGAATTCCCACCAATGAGGTCCACAAGCCAATAGAAATTCAAAACTTAATATCCATAAGCAAAGAAGATCTTATTTATTTATTTACAAGTCACATAATTTTGTAGCCCTTTTGACATTGGTCCCTTTCTAAAAATTAATTAGGGCTGAATCCCCTTTAGTTATAGTCCCACCCATGCAAAAAGCTAGAAACTAAAAAAAAAAAAAAAAAAGGAGACAGCACTATTATTTGCATTAATTTTATTAACGTGACTGCTCTTAGACATGAATCCAAAAGGGCATTACCAAGTGCTAGTCCTATCCATTCGGGGATGTTGGGAAAAGAAGACTGTAGACAGGCCTAATTTTTTTTTTGGGGTATTATATTTCACAAAGACTGTTCCTAGGATTAAGACCGGCATCAACATGCTCGGCAGTAAGGACTTTCCTTCATCACTGTACAAACCAATGGCACCATAATTTTGTTTTGATTGGTTTTTAACTTTCTTGATGCCCTATTTTGTAAATTTGACAACATGTGATGACATTTTTGTATTTTTGCTAGTAGAGTCATCCTTTAGTAATACAAGATAATCGGCTAATGGTTTGGTTTGAAAATGACACTCATCTCTAAATAATATATAAAAATGAATGCTAACATGTAGAAATTGAGCCAAATCACTTTAACTAAAAATCATCAGATTCCATATGGTTAAATGACTTCACATTACTAACCTCTATCTTTGGAAAGGTTGCTGATAAGTTCTTGAACACCCTCTTTGTCCAAGGTGTCCTTCAGGTACATAGCCGCAGATGCTACTTCCTCAGGAGTCACTTTGCCATCATAATCCCTTCACATAGATAATAAAGATCTTCTTTAAAGATCATTCACATAGATAATAAAGATCCCTTCATAATCCCTTCACATAAAGATCATTCATAAAAATACCATGCATTGCTTACTATTAAATAGAGAGAATATAAAAAGAAAAACTAAACAACTTCTTTAATGAAAATCAAATATAAGTTTTGTATAACATTTGAGAGTAAATTAAAACAAAAGATGCATACGCAGGGTGACAAATTCGAGTCACCATTATAAACATCCAACAGAGAGGTTGACTATTACTAATGTGGGATGAAGTTATTAGAAATGATTTTAAAAAATAGGAGAAATAGCTTGTGATGGAAAGAATTCATGTGGCCAAGTCCATTCATATAGGATTAAGGCAAGAATGATGGTGGTGGTGTAGATCGTATGAGGACTGTAATATTATAATTTTTGTACCATCAGGCTCAACCCTCCTACGAATTTGATCACGTCCCTCACTTGTTCACAAATATGACTAATTTATTGTTTCATCCCTTGTGACGGAAACATATATTTTCCTGACATACCTATCAAGCAACCGCCAGCGATCACCAATTTCTGCATCCACATCATCGATTTCTTTCTCAAGCTTTTGAAGAATAGCATCAACCTGAAAACCAGAGGAACTTAGGTAACAACCCAAGTGGACATTGTATGCATTGCAATTCATGAGGAAGATGGCAATTAAATAATTGGCAAGCACCAAGGTAGGTTGAAGATTGTGGCAACTGAACTTCTTTGGAAGAAATCCATACCCTGTTTATGAGTGCTGAAGAAGCCTTGTTGTCAATGGCTGTCTCAGCAGTTTCGTCTCTATCCTCCCTCGCAGCTCTGTATGCCTTCTTGGCAGCATCTTCACTTTCTGTACCCTCTTTCTCTACCATGCTATTGTACAATCCTATCTACAAATGGCATTACATCACTAAACACAAATCATGCATGAAAGAACATAATGAAAAATTGCTGACAAGAGGTCACATGGACTTCTAAAAAATGCATGATGTACCCATTCAACAAGGGACACTCAGAATGTTGGCAAGGGATAAGTGCCCGACATATATGGTTTGACATGCCTCTGCAATATTTCCAGCTAATTATAATTTTACATAAACATCTCTTATTATGTTCCTCTCTTTTTACATTATTGTTTTAAAATTGTTTTACAATAAATGAAAAATATTAAATAAAATGAATAGTTAGCAAGGTCACCGTGCCCAAGAGTTTGGAGATTTGTTAAATCTGATGATCATGCATAGTTGCATACAAGCACCTGATTCACATACCCGAGTCCATGTAAATAGCTCACAAGGACGGAAGCTGACTTAGAGAGGCAGAAGAGAATCTGATGGTTAAATTTTGAATATGAGATAGTCAAATAATCCAATTCTGTGATGTTGTGGCCCGAATTTGGTGCCGAGTACGACCTGGGGGAGACTTTTTGACCCCTTTTTTTTCTCATGGGTTGTGGACCCTAATTAGTCTCTTGTAGCCCGATATACAAGGGCGCTTAGGGTTTTGAATGGTGTAAGAGACAGACTGAAATTCGTACAGAAACAGAGTGGGGGGCTAAAAACTTGTAATCTCCGATTTTACACATAGTGAAGACTTTCGCCGGATCCCAACCGTGGACCTAGGCTGTTGCCGAACCATGTATAACTCTTTGTGTTCTTTCTGTGGTGTGTTTATTTTTCTGTTGTGATTCTTGGTTTTATCTTGAATTCCTTGCGTTTGTCATAACAAATTCATTAGACAAATCAGTGAAAAGTGACTTTGTAAATTATGTGGTAGTTATCATTGAAAGATTTGGTTTCCTCGGAAGATCCATAACTTCAAATTAAAATAAAACAACATTAGAAAAAGATAATGATGAGTACAGTTAGCCTTCCACAGATTTAAAGGATGGTCATTAGCAACAAGCTGCACACTGCACATGAAATAGATTAGTATTCACAAAACAAATTCCACTAAGAAGCCCCCATAACCTCCTCTTTTATGAATCCCCACCCACCTTGGTTTTTTTTTTTCGGCGGTTGGGATGGGGGTGGGACCGTGGGGGTGGGGGTTTAGAGAACCCCATAAATCAGTCACAACTGTCTATTCACTGATTTTCTCCCAGTACTGCTGTACTTCACAGCAACCAAAAAAGTGATATCAGATGATTACAACCAATTGTGTGATCTAGAATTTGAAGCTGTAAATCTCAAATGTCCAACTGATTGATTTATGGTTCACACTGCCAGCCTGTCAGGTTATGAGGGGAGAGTGGCACCATATGCACAATATTTTATTGGTTATACAATATTCGAAATCAATCAACCAAGTATCAAATACTTAACCACAGGGTGATCAAGTGGATGTCAAATAGAACTCCTTCAGTGAAAGTCAAAGAAGAATTCTTTCCTCCAAAATTATTTTCCATTTATATAAAGCACGATATTTTAGGGAATCACAATAGATTCATATATATATATATATATATATATATATATATATATTTGAATTCCATCTTCTCCTCTTAACTCTGGATGATGTTTTGTCATTATCTTGGAAGTTACATTATAATAAAGGGAATAATAAGAATCGACAATAATCCGGAGATTAAAGAAATCAAAGATGGAAAGGACTATAATCTTAGGGCAGTGGGAATATTGACACAAATGAAAAATGGCAGTCAAAAAGGGAAAATTTGAATTCTAGCATTTGAATGCTGTTACTTTTTATATAAGCAAATTTTAATGTCAGCAAACATAAATATCTAAAGGAAGTTTTTCAGCACAAATGTCGTTCTTCTAGGGCTTCAAATATCAAAATCTATAGTCAGCTCATCAGAGATATAACAAATTAATCATAACAATGGTCTGTAATTACCTCCTTATCGACAAGTCTCAAGAACTCTTCACGCTCCCTGCTCACCGACTGAAAAATAATAGCAGAAAAAGCAAGTTAGGATTTTGAGCAGACGCATTACCTCATATAGATAACACTCAATAATTCATATATAAGAAGATCATGTTCAATCCTTACAGATGCTGATGCTAAAACAGCCAATGCACGACTGAGCTCACAAAGCTGCTCCTCATTCTCCAATGTTTTTCCTTTTGCCAGTTCCTGGGCTTCGTTTGCTGTTGAAGTAGTCATCTCTTCCAAAGCCACATCCTTTTGCCTAGCAACAGATTCCTTCATCCTGGCCTGCTCCTCTTCCTCTCCCTCTTCCTCCTCCTGCAATCAACAAGTTTAGAGCCCCTATGTAAGATGGCAAGATAAAGAAGACCTCCTATATAAGAAAGTAAGGCACGAAGACAAAACAAATTAAAGACCTAGGATCTTAAAGAATTACCAATAACACAACCAGAGAGCTCAGATTGACAACATTACAGTTGCTCTAACACTTGCAACAGCTACAGTGTCGAAGCACATTAATTTTAATCCCATTCCCAATTTTATTTAGAAAAATGATAGGTCTTCCAACCTCAATTGCCGACTCCTCCTCCGAATACAACGTGGTTGGGAATGAGTCGAAGAGAGAAATGTTTACGGGATTTTTTTTTTTTAAGAGTTCCAACATGATCAAATCACGTTGTATTCGGAGGAGGAATTGGCAATTGAGGTTGGAAGACCTATCATTTCTCTTTTATTTATACACAAAAGCAGACATAGAAAAGGCAAAAATAAACTGTGTTCATTAGAATCTGATAAATGCATGCCAAATATCACAAAAAGTCTTTGCCACCAAGTTTTGATAGTACATGTGGCAAACTATATAAGGAAAAAAAGGATCTTAACTGACACTAAGAAGCAGGATTGCAGGGCAGTGACTCTATATGAGGATCGAGGCATGAAATGTCAGGTCTAATAGATTTACTTTTAGCATACCAGAAGAAATGAATGCTCACTTATAAAATTATTCATTTAAACAAACATCTGTTTTCTTCCTCTCACATTTTTTTGTTTTTTTGAAAAGAAAAAGAACACTTCTTAGATGAGTGTGTCTGAACTAGACAAAAATTATATTTCCACTAATTACAAACACAAAAAAGATGACGGCACATAATCAATCCATTATTGTTAATATATGCAGCCTCGTTTTTTTTTTTTTTTTTTCTTTCAAATGAAGAGCATTACAACAAAAACCTCCAAACATGGCAAAGTAAACCACAACATATTCAACCTTGATTAGTTCTTCTTGCATTTCTAGGAACTCCAACTTCCTCCTCCTATCTGAAACAGAATCTTCAGATGGCAAAGCCGTCACTCCAACTGTGTCCACCACTTCATCTGGCAGAGAGGACAGCGTAGCTTGAACAGCTTCCTCAGGTTTCACTTTTCCAGACACACTGAAAGCTCTGCACAGGGTATCATACCACAAAGAAAGAACTTAGATGTTGTTAAAAATCTTAGAGCACCTATGAACAGACAAAGAATTATGCTACCTCGAAAGAATCAAAAGAGAAGATGGTACAGAGTGGTTGAGAGACAAGTCCAGCCAATCACGCAGCTGCACATTTGAAGAACAGTTGAAACACCTAAATAGACATACATTCCTTCTTTTAGCTTTTATATTAATAACAATATACTGAAAACTGCAAATAATGGAAGTTACCAACCATTCTTTAAAAATCACATTGTCAAATATTCTTTTGCATCTTTCCAAAAAGTTTTAAACACCGCATAACTAGAAAGCAATGTTTACTGTGCCCCAAAATATAAAGATTGGCTAAGGCTACCTCTAAGAGGGGTGAATACATAAAGCAGTTAATCATAAGCACACCAAGTAAATTATAATGAACAGATCATGTTTGACTACTCTGGTTTAAAGAAATATCTGGTCCTATTTAGAGGAAAGAGTATCGCATGCCAAAGTTGGCAACCACGATGACACCATACAATCTATAAAATAAAATTGAGTAACCATGGAAGAGAATAGTATTTGGAGGAAGGCAGCAGGAAGAAATTTTGGGAATGGGAATAGTTGGAGGACTTCAAGCGAGGTACAGAGGTTACTCATTCCTAATGGGTTCAGTTATGGAAGGGGGTCAGGAAACACTAGAGGGTAAGTCATGTGGGTTTTGTGCACAAAGGTTTTCGCATTACTTCGGTTATGGTAATGTTCCCCTAGAAATTATCTTCTGAATCTCTTTTGGATGGTGGGGAATAGAGGGGTTCTTGTTGCCATATTAGACAGAGGACTCACCATAGAATATCATGAATTTTAAGAGTTATTTGAGAGGAAGACATTCATAATTGATTTAGGTTAAACTTATTGTTAACAACCATCTACTCCAATAGCTTAAGCTTTTGTTTAACAGGGGTTAAACAAAAGCTGATTGGGACTGTTTCCTTCAACTCTGTACTCATCATTTTGCCTGCGCGGTTCTCAGTTTTAGTGAATGGCTCCCTAGATGGCTTCTTCGCGAGTTCTCGCAGTCTGCGCCAGGGTGACCCACTGTCTCCATTTTTGTTTATTATTGTCATGGTGGCTTTTAGCCGATTGATGAGGAGGGTGGAGGAGTTGGGATTCATTCTAGGCTTCTCGGCGGGAAACAGTCCCAATCAGTTAGTTATCTCCCATTTGCTTTTTGTGGATGACATAATCGTCTTTTGTGATGCTAGGGTGGATCAATTGAGGTTCTTGAAATGTGTGTTGGCTTGCTTTCAAGTTGTCGCAGGGCTCAAGATCAACTAAGGCAAAAGTGAGCTAGTTCCAATTGGGGCAGTGAAGGAATCCATGATTTTGCTAACATCATTGGATGTAATGTCGGCACCCTCCCGATTGCTTATTTGGGGCTCCCTCCAGGAGCTAGGTCGAGGAGGACTTCAGTTTGGGATCCCGTTATTGAACGATTTTAGAGCCGCCTCGCAGGGTGGAAGAAACAGTATCTCTCAAAAGGGGGAAAGATTACCCTTTTAAAAAGTACTCTATCAAACCTCCCAACCTATTTCATGTCTCTTTTCCCTATACCGAAGACTGTTATTCAAAGGTTGGATGAGATTCTGAAGAACTTTTTTATAGGGTGGTATTGGCGATGAGTTCAAGTATCACTTGGTGAATTGGGAGAGGGTGTGCTCCCCTATCCAAAAGGGGGGTTTGGGCATTCGGAGATTGGATTTGTTCAACAAGGCTCTGTTGGGTAAATGGCTTTGGAGTTTTGGGAGAGAGAAGTCCCGTCTTTGGAGGAGGGTCATTGTTTGCTGGCGTGGGGAGGGTGATGGTGGGTGGCTATCCAAAGAAGTGAGATTTCCAACGGTCATAGATGTTTGGAAGCTCATCCGGAAGGGGTGGGACAAGTTTTCTAAGCATATCCGATTAAAGGTTCAGAGCGGGAGTCATGTCAAGTTTTGGGAGGATCGTTGGTGTGGAGATTTTGTGCTAGCTCGTAGATTCCTGCGGCTCTTCAAGATCTCCTCACATCCGGGTTTCCGACTATTATCATCTCGATAACGGGAGGTTGACTTGGGACGTGCAGTTCCGTAGAGAGGTCCATGATTGGGAGCTTGTGGAGGTTGCTGATTTTTTAGCCTTGCTCTACAATTGATGGAGGGTGTGGGGATGGATGAGATGGTGTGGGTGGGCGCGCCAAGAGGGGTCTTTGACGTTAGGGATTTCTACCACAGCTTAATGGTGACCCCGGGTCCTTCTTTCCCCTGGAAGGCGATTTGGAGGTCGAAATCTCCTTTAAAGGTGGCTTTCTTTACTTGGTGTGCTGCCCTCGGTAGCATTCTCACCCTTGACAACCTTAGGAAGAGAAGGCAAACTGTGATCAACTGGTGTTGTATGTGCAAGAAGACGGAGGAAACAATGAATCACCTTCTTCTTCATTGCCCGGTGGCAAGGGATGTTTGGTCTATGCTTTTGGTCGCATTTGGCATGTCTTGGGTGTTCCCAAGAACAACTGTGGATATGATCGAGGCTTGGAAAGGGTGTCTAGAGAGAGCTGAGCCAAGGCTGTTTGGAGGGTCACTCCCCTTTGTTTATGGTGAGGTTTGTGGTGTGAGAGAAATAGGAGATCATTTGAGGATGAGGAGACCCCTATTTGGTCTCTAAAATATAGTATATTGCACACTTTATTGTTTTGGGTTAATGGGCGGAATTGTACATCTTTGGGGATCTTGTAGACTTTGTGGATAGCTTAAAGTTTTAAATGTCGCCTTTGGCGTTTTGTGTATTCTCTTGGGAGCGCTCCCCTTTTGAGCACCTTTTATGAAATCTTACTTATAAACAAAAAATAAAAAATAAACTCAATAGTCATGAAGCTCTTACTGTTTTCATCTTCCACAATACCAATTTTTTTTTGTTTTACCTCGCACATCCTGATCCTACAAAAAGTTATTTTCTCTAGTCTCCTAAAGCTAAATTTCCTATATTATTATCAATTCGCAATTTCTCAAATTGACTACTTCATCTTTCTCTAAACACTTGCTGCATTTAAATTTAGTAAAATCTCCAATTTCCCTCTCCCTCAGCTTAGTAAGTCCCCATCCTTTGTGCCTAATTAGAATAGAGAATCATAAGCTCTATACTTCATTTTCTAACATAGAGTTTTTTCGCTTCTAGTTTTTTTGCCAGTTTGTGACACTTTTGATTTGGACATATTTCCCTAGATAATGGCCATTTTCACTCCCTCTCTATGGTGCTTTACTGATTGCTTTCTTTTGAACCATCTATTATTATGTGGGCTTAGTAGTGAAACAAAGTGAGTGCTAATCATAGTTGGAGGTAAAGTGATAATTCCCCAAGAGGAAGATCCCTCAGTTCGGTCAAAACGTTGACCACAGTTATTCTTACATTTAGATGATCTTTTATGACATTAAAGATATCCAATTTTGGTTTCTTTGTATATTGTTTTACTTGTTTACTTTGGGGCGTTATTGTAATTTTCTTATCTCAACATATATATATATATATAAGAGGTCGTGTAGAAATCCTATAACCTGATGATTACGTTCTCTGATTTCTCTTCTCCACCTCCTTCCGCTTTTCCTCTCTAGCCCTAGAAACAATTTTCGTGCAATGGAAAAGGAAGGAAAGGAAAGGAAAGGTGATGGAGGGTGATTAAAAAATTGTGTTTAGCATAAATGGTTGGAAAGAAAGGAAAGGAAAGGGTTGGTTTTGGAGGATATCACAAGGCTTAAATAGTAACTTTCTTATCCTCCCAAAAATGGGAGAAAATGGAAGGAAAGAGAAGGAGAGGCTTGATGTATTATTTCTGATGCCAAATTTACCCTAACACAGTGATTTTAGTTTGCAAAACAAGAATTACAGAAAAAAATTTAAAACAAAACCCATACATACAAGTTAGCAGTTGCAGAGAAAGGGGAGGGGGGGGGGGGGGGGGGGGGGGGGGGGAGAAGCTTGAGAGTTGAGAGACAGCGGCTGAAGCTTGCGAACGGCGAACCCGAACTGGAACAGAGAGCGATGGAAACTGAAAGATGGGTTTTGATTTTTTGAACAATCTGAAATGATATGCCGATATGGTTTTGATATAAGTAATAGGTTTTCAACTTTTGATTCTTGCAAACAGATAGATAAACTGAAATATATGGGTTTTGAACTTTTGATTCTTGTAGATTTTGTAGTTTGTAGTTGCAGTGAGAGAGAGAGAGAGAGGGCAAATTCAGAGTTGAGAACGAGAATAGAGATAGATGGAGCCATTGGGGAGGCTGAAATAATTTGCCCTAATTTTTTTTTTTTTTCCTGGTGGCCCATCGTCCATGGGCCTATAAATTTTGAGGCCCCATAAATAATTGTTTCTGCATTCTATTTGTGAGAAGGTTATATAATTTATCACCGAAATAATTGTTTCTGCATTCCATTTGTGAGAAGTTTATATAATTTATCACTGAAATAATTGTTTCATATTTTTTAATGTATTTGTCACATAAATATTATGTAGTTCTCTAGTCCATCTTTTTTGTTCATCTTTTATTGGTAACTTTTAATTTAAGTCATTTGTATTAAAATAGTAATATTTCTTTTGCCTATCTAGCATATAAGTTAAAGGTATAACATGAATTCAAAAGAACAATACTATTTTTATCAAATTATTATTTATTTTTATATTACATAGTTAAATCTATAAATTTATCTTTTAAAAGATAAAAGGGTATAATAGTAAATTTATTAACATAGTTTCCTTTCCTTTCTTTTCCCAAACATGATTATTATCCTTTCCTTTCTTTTCCTTTATTAATCAACCAAACACGATAGGGGGTAAAAATTATCCTTCCCTTCCCTTCCCTTTCCTTTCCCTCATAACTAATGTTATCCTTTCTTTTCTTTCCTACCGTACCAAACATAGCCTAATAATTTTTTTCTTCGGTATTCTAAATTGAAGAAATATCTAAGGGAGTTTATTTTCCCCCCAAAAATAATAGAGAAAAACCTTTAATTACAGCCGCAAAATCGAGGCAAGTGACTTTTAATTCTTGAGGGCATTGGCAAGCTATACATGCAAGTCCGTTAAATGAAGAATAATGGGATAACCAGCAGACAGCAAATACTACATAGATATACTCCTCGCAGCTACAGTGATTAATTTATAGTAGATAAATAGAAGATCAAACAAAAACCTGTTGTCGCATTTCATCCACTGACAATAATCCAAGTAATCCCCGGTATCTACAAGCTTGACGAAGCTCCTGTTCTGAAAGGGTTTCCACACCTTCTGCTTGGATCATCCTGTCATCTTTCTTGATCCTGCCAAAACCAAATAATATAATGGACAATTTTTTTTTTTGATTAATATAATGGACAAATTTAAAACCATTGTCAAAAAATTTCACAAATTTATTCAAATTTTCTAATATTTTTATTTTTATCTAGTAGCGAAAATGGAAAAAAATAAAAAACAAAAGACACGTTCAAATTTCTCGAAAATTCTGAACTGTTGCTGTTCTTGACAACTAAATTGTTGATCTAAGAGTCGTCAACTACAAGAGGTTCAAAATCTTTCCCCCAAAAGGGAAAACCCAACTTCTAGTTGGAAAAAAGAAAAATTAAGAAAAATAAAAATAACTGACAAGAATGTGTTGGAATATCATGGATTTGGTAGGGTATTTAAAAGCAGTGATCCCATAATCTAACTTTTTTTTTATAAGTAACAATAAATTAATAAAGGTGTTCAATAGGGGAACGCGTCCCGTAAATATAAAAGAAAACGGAGTCTAAGGCCCCAAAGAATCCAAAAAAGAAATTAAATCAACAGAAGAGGAACACGAACTTTTGTTCACATAACTAAATAGAGAACGAATAATAAAAAGTTTCAAAGTCGCTGTAGACGATTCCTTCCCTTCAAACATTCTACTATTTCGCTCCTTCCAGATGCACCACCAAATACAAAGTAGTACAGATCTCCAATAATCACGAACACCCCTACTCACACGACAATCTCTCCAAGCATGAATCAGTTCCTAAGTAGAACGTGGCATTACCCAGCACATGCCAAATAGGCCAAGAATGAGATTCCAGCAATCGTGCGCTACAGAGCAATGCATTAGGAGATGATCGACTGACTCCCCATCCTGCTTACATATGCAACACCGATTAACAAGAACATTTCCCCTTTTCCTCAAATTATTGATCGTTAGAATCTTACCCCAAACAGCAGTCCGTACAAAGAATGCCACCCTAGTAGGAGCCATAGAGCGCCATATAGTCTTCTATGGAAAATCATAGGATGCAAAATTAGACAAACATAAGAACAAAGACCTTACTACAAAACACCCGTGAGAGGAGGGAATCCAAATCAAATTGTCATAACCCATGCCAATTCCTTCCTGTCGATACAATTGATCGAAGAAGATACTCACCTCTTCCAACTCCCAATCCTGAAATGAATGCCAAAAATGAACATTCCACGTAATCCCACTATTATCAAGCTGATAATAGTTAGCTACTATGGCATGTTTATCATCTACAATACTATATAATCTGGGAAATGTACGACATAAAGGCTGGTTCCCACACCAAAGATCTTCCCAAAAATGAATGCATCTACCATCACAAACTCTGAATTTGATATGAGAGGAAAAGACATCCCAACCTTTCCGAATGGATTTCCAAGCACCAACTCCTCCCGCAATAGAAACCGGACGTGTAGTCCATCCGCCAACATCTTCCCCATACCTGCAAGATACTAATCTGCGCCAAGGACGATGTCTTTCCTTCCCGTATCTCCACAACCATTTGCCTAGAAGAGCTTGATTAAAAGGAATCAATCGTCTAATACCGAGACCCCCCAATTTTATAGGCTTGCATACTTACTCCCATCTAACAAGATGATACTTGAACTCATCTCCCCTTCCTCCCCAAAGGAAATTCCTTTGAATTTGTTCAATTCTATCACCAACGGAGAATGGAATTTGGAACAAATAAAGAAAATAAGTGGGAAGGCTTGATAAAGTGCTCTTGATAAGAGTTACTTTACCCCCCTTGGATAAGTATTGCTTCTTCCACCCTGCCAACCTCTTTGCATACCTATCAAGCACAGAATCCCAACTCCCCACTAACCTGGAAGAAACCCCTACGGGCAATCCCAAGTAAGGGATAGGAAAGGAGCACACCCTGCACCCAAGAACTGCAGCTAAATAAGAGATGTCCTATACATTCCCGACCGGGACAAGCACACTCTTGGCCACATTCACCTTTAGCCCGGATACTGCCTGAAAGCAAGCCAGAATGCATCTCAAATATCTAAATTGAGACACATCTGCATCACAGAAAACCAGAGTATCATCTGCAAATAGTAGATGTGAAATCTCCACCTGATTGTCAATATCTCTTCCCACCCAGAATCCCTTAATGAGACCAAGATTCTCTGCCCGGTGCATAAGTCTGCATAAGCCCTCCATAACAATAAGAAAAAGAAAAGATGACAAAGTGTCTTATACCCCGAGAACACCCGAAGAAACCAGCTGGAGAACCATTCACAAGAATTGAGAACTTGATAGACGAAAGACATGTCTCAATCCATGTCCTCCATCTACTTCCAAACCCCATTCTTTTAAGCAAGTAGAGAAGGAAATTCCAGTTAACAGTTAACATGATCATAAGTTTTCTCAATATTAAGTTTGCATAGAACTCTAGGAACACCACTACGCAACCTTGAATCCACACATTCACCAGCAATAAGAACTGAATCAAGAATTTGCTGTCCTCCAACAAAGGCATTCTGGGAAATTGAAATAATCCCATCCATAACTTCTCTCATTCTATGAGCAAGCACCTTAGCTATGAGTTTGTAAATACAACCCAATAAGCTAATAGGACGAAAGTCGTTAATATCTGAAGCATTTCCCTTCTTAGGGATAAGGGCAATAAATGATGCATTGAGCGATTTTTCAAAAACACCAGTAGAATGAAACTCCTGAAAGGTACTCATCACTTCATTTCTCCCATAATCTAACTTAACACTACTTAACTAAAGAACCAGAATCTTGTTGATTGTTACCAGCTTGTTTTGTTACCTAATTCTGTTACATTCATTCTCTGGTGAGCTATAAAAGAAATACTGGGCACTCTGGACAAGTTTTTCTCCTGGTATGTTTACTAGAGCAATGTATATTCTCTGCGAAGAAAGAGTTGAAAGTCATAATCACCTGTTCTCTTTGTATGATAGATGAATTTAGTCATTTTCCCACCAGAAAAGCAATACCAAGTGGCCTATAAGTGACCAGAATTCTATTATTGTTTCGTCTGTGATTCAATGGAGAGAATGTTTTTCCCAAATTAGTATACAAACTTCGTAGAGCCATCATTTACTTCATATGGAAGGAACAAAATCAGATAACTTTAGAAAACAATGCAGAGGGATATCGTCTCTCTTCAAACTGAGTTTTTCAACACTATTCAAGGCTGTTAGTTCCAATTCGTAATGTTTTATGGCTGGTAACAAATAGATGGATGCACAGAGAATGGAGACTCCCAGATGGCATTTTTTAGATTACCAGTCTTGTTTCCTAGTTTACAGAATGATTATGTTCTAGGGTTAGTTTTTGCCATGGCCTGTTATGATGTATCTGAATGGCTTTGCTGATATTGGATGGCTACCCATCTTTGTTTTTGCTTAAAAGAGCATCCATCCAGCTTCTCTTCGGTTTTGGGATAGCCACCTTCTATTTTGTCATCAAACTATTCTTTATATTGATTTTTCTTGCTTGCTCAACAATGTGTACCTTTTAGGGTAAACTCTGGATGAGAAGTGTCTTATGAGTAATGATATCTTCACCCAGGACTCATTTTGCAGATCCCATATGAAGAAACTTTAATCCATTTTCTCCATTCATTATCCTCTATCTACTGCTGTATGGCAGAAACTCTTTGCTTTATCAGGGCATTGTTTGGTTGCTCATAGGAATCTAGGAATGTATTTTCATCACTTGCTTAAAGGTAGCAAAAACTATGTGGGATGGAACTGTTTTGGTTATGATATGAATCACTTTGACTGAAAGAATAATTTTTTGAGAGTAGTGTGGTAGGATCTTCTGAGTAGGCCACTCCTTGGCCTCCCTCAGAGTGTTGTTGTCAAGTAATCCAAAAGGATGCACATAATCGTGAAAGATTGGGTTGCGGCTTTTCTTCTAAGGTAAAGGGAGGACTCATTTTTGGAAGCCAAGAGACCTACAATTGGGAAATTTAAAATTAACTTTGGTGAGTCAGGTTTTGGTAGCCCATTTTAAAATGGGGTGGAGACACTTTTAGAGATCACTCAGACAATACCATCCTCTCCATTTCAAAACCAGCGAAAATTGAGTTTGCCAATTAAGTTAATTTTTTTAGGAATTCATTATGGCATTCATAAGCCTTTTGCTGCCATTCAAGCAAAAATCCTAGCAATCCTTGAAGGCCTTCCTTACTTTTTTTCACGGGAATGTACACCTTGATGATTGCAAGGGATTCTAAAGTAGCAAGTCAGGTGAAAGTGCATTTTTTATTTTTATTTTTAATATTGGCATTACAACAAGCTTACACATGAGTACATAGATTTGGTTCTTTAGAAGTGGAGATTAAGTGGATTGCTAAACTAAACAAAAAAGAGCTCATCTCTACATAAATGAGGAGCTACCATATTAATTCCTTTCAAAGGAAGTTTTTTTTTTTTTTTTTGATAAGTACCTTTCAGAGGACAATTGTATCCCTTCAAGAGCACTTAAGTTGTACTTTGTAGGGGGGTTTTATTGACTTTTCACTTGGACGGCTATTAGTTTGATGAAGGATTTTTTATCCTTCCTCCATTTACATTCACTTGTCTTCCCTTTTCCAATTCAGATTATTAATCAAGTTTTGGTTGTTTATGTTAGATGACATTATTATTATTATTATTTGATAAGCAAGATTTTATTAAAGGCGCTCAAGATGGGAGCACTCCCAAAAGAATACAAAGGGCACCCCAGGAGAAACTATAATTTCAAGCCATCCACAAAATCCAAAAGATTCCCCAAAGATTTACAATTCCTTCCATTAACCAAAAAATAATAAAGTAGAAAGTATATTGTATTTGAGAGACCAAATAGGGGACTCCTCTCCATCAAAGAATCGCCTATTTCCTCTCGCACCACAAACCCCACCATAAACAAAGGGAAGTGGCCCACCAAGCATCTCTGGTTCGGCTTTCCACTGTACCTTTTTTTTTATAAGTAATTCGGTTCTCCACTATACACCCTCTCCAAACCTCCAACCAGTCCACCGTGGATGCGGGA